GAGAGGAAGAAACAGCCCTGAAACCTGGCTTAACCAATGTCCCTCAGCCGTGACTGGAAATTCAGAGGCATGTGGAGTATTAAGTCTTCCAAGGGCCACAGGTGATGTGGAGGAGGGCTGTTTAACGAGTGCCACTGGTCTGGTTAGTCAATGTACTTAAAATTCAATATAATTAGATGCCTTCCTTCAGTACAGACATATTACGCTGGGGTCAAAGTCACGGTATTCCCAAAGGATGGATAAATATTGAATCCTTCCAGTAACCGGATGTAAGTCATGCCAACAGGAATTCTGTGATCTACTTTCAGACGTGTAGGACCAGAACTGCATTGTGGTGACGCACATCTGGCTACTAGTGGAATTTGACATTTATGAATCCCTGTTGAGAATACTATACTTTGACCCTAGTCTGTACTAGAATAAGTGATAGTAGTGGACTGTTGTGCTCCAGTCTATTTAATACTGAATGTAAGTGAGGGCATTGTAACCACTTCTAAACATATACCTTGTGAGCCTGTCTGCTAATGAAGTAAACCAAACCCCTCTTGTTAGTAATCTTGATATTTCAGCTCCACATACAGCTATTAATGGGTTTATAAATAACAAATTAAGGATGGCAGAAACTGAAAAGATAAAATGACTGTAACTAACTGTGAGATTAGAAGCCAAATCAAATACATGGAAAAGAAAGGGCTACAATTGTTTTAATAATCAGGAAAAAAACAGATGGTTGGAAAGACTGGGGCACACATGTAACTTAGGAATATTGTCAGAAAATAAACTAACTCATGCCAGAGAATTAATGGGTAAAGATATAGTGTCACTTCAGCCCTGTGAAACTTGCAAAGTCCACAAATTCAGCTCTGGAGTGCAGAATTCAATATGAAAAGATTGAAGAGCATATTAGGAAAAGCCAATGCTTGGTGAGGTCTTGCAAGCAGACCACTGATCCACAGCTTAAACTGCCAGTGAGCAGGATACTAGCTTAGGTAAACATAAAAAAAATAAAGGCAGTGTCCTGTTAACAGGTGGTCCAATGCATGGCAATGCCGACTTCCAGACACAACCATTGAAATGGGTGTCAGGTGATCCACCTCCAACATGCTCAGACCAAGTGTTAAATATCATAAGGTTGCTAAATTAAATGCATGTGTAAATTAACGCTTAGCATCATCACATAATGTACCTCGATGGGTGCAGACTATATAGCCAGCAATGTTGACCATAATGTGATGGAAAGTGTAATATTTGTTATCTGAATTCACACATTGTGACTTGAGTGAGTTTCAAATAACAGCTTCTGCTGCTAGGAATTAGAAATGCTTTACATTGACATGGGGGAATTCCACTACAACGCTCCCAGAAGCTATCAGCCTGGTTTTGCATTTGCGCCCCTGAGTCAGAAGGTTGTGGGTTCAAGCCAAATGTCTGGATTTTTGGCCCATAGTCTAGGCTGACACTCCAACGCAGTGCTGTGGGTGCGCTACATTGTCAGAGGTGCCGTCCTTCAGTCGAGACGTTAAACTATGGTCCTGTCTCCCTGTTCAGATGGGAAAAACAGGTGTTTCTCCTGGTGTACTGGCTACCAATACCCCAGAGAAATAAATGGTTCATTCTCTTCATGGCTGTTTGTGGAAAATTGCTGTGCACAATTTGGCTGCCTTGTTTGCCTACTAGTACATAATTACTACAGATTACAGTAAAATCCTATGAAGCACTTTCGACATTTGGTGAGGTGAGAAGGCACTATATCAAAAGGAAGGATTATTACTATAAGTAAATTGTGGAGTCCCTACAGGTCGCTTCTGGTTACCAAAACGAACTGCTATTTGTGACTTCAAGCTGGTATTTGGAATCCAGGTAGCAAATACCGCAGTTTCAATTTCGGCATAGCAATAAAAGGTAATAGCAGAGTAATGGAAATTATAATGAATATGGTATGTTGTGAGAGTCTATACAGGAAGATTTCCATGTTAACACGGCTCACTCACTACAATGCCTTCAAAGGTGGAGCAAGCACATCTTAAAACGATTAAAAGAGTAACAGGTAGTGCTTCCCCCATAGCTGAAGTGTTAAGAGGAATTGTCTAGCTTTATAGCATCAAATGCTATCCTGAACTAGATAGATATCCATTTATTTTACTTAAGGAGTTAATTGACCCACATTTAACTGCATTTATTGTGAATCTCTTCCACCATGGTGGAAGTGGGGGGTGGTGGAGGAATCCATCTCATCTCTTGTCTCACTTGAGGCTTGTAAATTTTAAACATCTGCCTTACTGCTGATCTCATGGTATAAGTTAAATCGGCCGCTTATGTCTGCAATACGTTTACCTTTTAGTATTTTAAAAACACAGGTCTAAAGGGCAGGATTATGCCTCCACTTACTCTTGAATGACAAAAAACATACTCATCTCTGTGTGCCTCTCATTGTAACTTAGTTTTGTTGCACATATTTTGCTTTGCAAATCCTTGCATTTGACATCACAACATTTTTTGGATGAAGAACCCCCTTAGCCAATTTTGTTCCACAGTACCCACCCATCACAGTCTCAAGCTGTTTTTTTTTAATGAGTTCAGCATCTAAACCTATATCCTCATGTTAAGCTTTCTCGGTGTGTCTGAACTTATTGCTTTTGTTTACTTTCATAAACACATTATTCATTTCTCTAGCATCCTTATTGCTGTATAAAGCTCTTGACCAGAGCTCGATACAGCCTGAGCATGACTTCTGGGGATGTAAACTCAACTGATTTGGCAATATAGGCCAGTATTCTCTTTGCCTTGTTTGTTGCTATCTCACATTGTTTTGATATGGTGAGCAACGAGCGACAAGTCACTGAAACCCCGGTCTTTTTCAGCAAGCTAGTCCCTTAGCAAGTTTTATCCTACAGGGAGCCTTTTCACATTGATGTATCTCAAAGCTCTTCTGAGTTTTTTGTGCAGTGTAGGGACTGTGTATCTATTAAACAGAACTTCAGCATTACACAGATTTCTTTCTTTCTTTCTTTCTTTCTTTCTTTCTTTCTTTCTTTCTTTCTTTCTTTCTTTCTTTCTTTCTTTCTTTCTTTCTTTCTTTCTTTCTTTCTTTCTTTCTTTCTGTCTGTCTGTCTGTCTGTCTGTCTGTCTGTCTGTCTGTCTGTCTGTCTGTCTGTCTGTCTCTCTCTCTCTCTCTCTGTTTATTATGTATATCATAAAAATACTACCCCAGGATATGTTGAAGGGATAATAAAATAACCAGAATCTTTACATTCGATATAGTCCTTTCCATGTTGGGAGGACATCTCAAAGCGCTTCATAGGATGTACTGTAAAGTGTAGTGACCGTATTTTGCAGGTACATGTGGCAAACAGGGAGCACAGTTTAACGTCTCATCTGAAGGATGATGCGTCCAACATGGCAGCACCTTGTCAGGTCCTGCACTGGAGTGTCAGTCTAGACCAGGGTGGTCCAACCTTTTGGCTGCCAAGGGGGCCAGATGCCCTATTTGAGAAAGGTTTGCGGGCATTAGACTATGAATGCAAAGTCCCGATATAGGACTTGAAACTGCAACTTTCAGACTCAGACATGAGAGTGCTACCAACTGAGCCAAACTGACACATGATTTATAGTAAAAATTAATATTTATTTTACTTGTAAATTTATTTAATGGACTTCAAGTCAGGTTTATTTTTTGAACTTCTGTTTCCACTGTTTTCTTTTTGCCATTTAATATGTAAATTTGACACGGGCATTTTGCTTGCTCGCTCTCCTGGGTACAATGATTACAGTTTCTGGAATGTTCAGTCACACGTGACACTCGTGTGAGTGTCTTTTGTCATATTGGTTCCGGTATTATTAATATACTCAATGTAGACGTGCGCCACTTTCAACACACACATTACTTCCTCTCTGTAAATGTTGTACTTATATCCATTTCGACTGAATCCATTCAGAATAAGGCACTGATGTAAAGCAATGAAAAGACACTCACTGCTCTTAATCGTGCTGACATAAGTCTGTTGACAGTCATTAAAGACTGATTTGCTTTACTGAGGCTGTGCTACGGCATTTAAAATCGAAAATATGCAGTTTGACTTAAATTGGTAGGATCCACCTTTCCTCCCAATAATCTGTTTGAAGTTCATTCATATTAAAACAATTAGTTCTTTTTAAAGATGTGCTTTGGAATTTTGGAACACTGATGTTATTAACACCACTTTAATACTTGAAGTGCCACTGATAAACTGGAATTAATATTGCCACCGCTTAGAATGGAGGGACCCCTCACTGCTAAACAAATTGCGCCGCATTAATGACTCTTGTAATTGTACCTGTGTTGCCAATCGCATCCAGGAAAGCAATGAAATTTAATATGAAACGATATTCGCTAACACATTCGCAAATGGCAAACTTCCCCCCCACCCCCCACCCAGTAGCCGCAATTGCGTTACAGTGACCCGAGGGAACTTCACTCCCATGTGATCTAAAGTTTCAGGGCAGAGTTCTCACAGCCTGACACTGATCTCTACCTTCAACTCACAGACACTGTTTGTCAATCGTTATTTTGCAAATATGGCATTTTAGCCCCTCACCCTCACAATGTTGAACTTTGTGAAATTTGTAAAATATTGTTGGTGTTACTAACAAAAATACAGGCTCTTCAATAATTCATGCAAAAATAACTGATACTTTTGTTTCTATAGTGTTTGAAGTTGAAGTGTAGAAGAGCTTGGAATGTTAACAATATAAAAAAGATCAATTATTGTTAGTGTAATAAACTTAGAGATTTCACTTTTTTAAACAACCCCTCTGTTTAATTGAAGCAGCTGCTTTAATGAGATTTCCACAGCTATCATTTTACCCTGGCTGAGCTGGGTGACAACAAAGCAGTAATAACAAATTCAATAATAATTAACTTGGGTCATCTGCTCATCTGTCATGGCTCATCAACTTTAGGGGAAAAAAATCGCAAAGAACTTCGTGCTTTCTATCATTGCAAAAACTCAGCAATAAAGCTGCTTTGGCTTGGCTCTCAGTGAGAGCTGAAAAGACAGGAAGATGGGCTGTCAGTGAGCAGAGTGGCATGTAAGTCTACTTTTATATGAAAAATGATGCCTTGCTGTGCTCAACATCTATTGTATAGGAAATAACTGAGCTTTTGAAGTTTATGTTGGTTTAGTGAGGCCTAAAAGGACTTACAGCTAAGCTGTCCCAATCCATTTGTCTGTAACTGTGCCTGTAGCAATGCTGGATAATAACCTAATACTGTATCCTACTCAAATTCACTCAAGTTCTTGGAAGCAAAGAGGCAAGTTGGAATTTTGATCATTTCTGCAATGTTGCAACAAGAACAGTCAAATGTAACTTTAAAAATGAAAACAATAGCTTCAAAGGGTTTTACTTCATTATGATCAGTTCAGCAGTCGAGATGATTTAGAAGATGGAGGTGTTTTGGCACAATTTGCTCAGCGACACATAACAGACCTAATTAGAGAATTATTTGCTTACCAACACAACACATGACGTGTCCTGCTATGACATGATTGAGGAGCAGCAATGAATGATAGGGGAAGTATTTGGCATCATGTTGAATCTAGCTGTTCGCGTTTGAGAATTATTCAGCAATGTGATACTGGTAACTAGTATTATGTACTGTTCTAAATGTACTCCCAATATTCTCCTTGGAAATAAAAGGTGCAAACAAAGACAGAGTTTGGCATAAATCTATTGGAATCATTATTCTATACACTTTCTAGGGATATTCCATTTGTATTAAGCATGAATATAAAATATGATTATCTGTTTATCTAGTTGCTACTATATGTTGTATCCATAAGGATAATTATTCAGACAAAAGCAGTATGCTTATAATATTGACTAAGTTGTTTATTCATTGGTAATCTGATGCCTATTAACTTAAATGTTATGTGGTAGAAGGAACTGTCATGTATTCCCTTTGTTGGGGAATAAGTAACAAGGGGTTGAGAGTGGTACAGGATTATCAGAAGGAAAACCAGAAGCATTAGAAGGAAATCTTTCATTTGGTTGTTTGGGTTTTTGCCACAAGTAGCTATTGAGGCTGAACAACAGAATTGTTCAAAAGGGAACTGTATTAAAAAAGGGAATATGGGGAAAGAGCTGGAATTGGGAATAATAAAAAAGAGAGTGATTTAGTCATGCATGTAGCAGTTATAGAGACTTGATGGGCCAAATGGCCTCCTTCTGTGCTGAAAATATCTATGTTTCGATGTTTCCAGCTTTGGTTGAAAGTCAAACTCAGCTCATTTTTCTTTTGCTGATGTCATATTGGCTCAACTGCCAAACACGCTCAACTGAACAGTTGTATAACAGTATAAAAGAAGAAACAAAGACATAAATACTATTGAGAGTATGCTAAGCATATTAACAAACTGCTGGCATGAATTGGAAGGCTGTAGTCCAATTTCAAGTCCCTGCTGACATTCAATAATCACTTACACTTCACTCTCATAATTTGACAATGTCCCCAGAATCTTGTTGCTGAATTGCAGCATGGTAGGTTCTTGCCAGATATCCATTGCTCTGTGTTTATGTGCACATTGTATTTTTTGAAACTGCCTCAAAACATCTATATTCACAAGATCACAAGAGAAGTTCATACCAAGAAGGCCCTTCTGCCCAATTCATCTAGTCCTTGCAGAATATTCACGCTACCTCCCTACTATTATTGTCATCCTGGCATCAACCAGTTTTCCTGGTAACCTATTCCTTTTGTTAATTACCCTCTGGTTAAAGAGACACTTGCTGGTGTCTGTCCTTGAATTGCACTTTGCTACACTGAACCTGTACCCTGTTGTTCTGCATATCTGAATAGTATTCTACTATCAGTCAACTCCATTTAAAACTCCATTTATATACCTCGCTAAGGTCCTCTCTGACACATTTATTTTCAAGGTTGAAGAATCCTGGTTTATCTAATCGTTGCTCAAAGACCATTCCTCGAACACAGAGGATAATCCTATTTGTTCTCCTCTGTACTGTCTCTAGGGTCTGGACAGCCACCTTATGTCAGAACAAACAAAACTGTAAATTATAAAACATGGCATATTTACTGAATGCTAGTCGGCAAAGTTACCAACTTGGACAGCCATAGGTATGTCCTCCCCTTTAAAAGCAAAGTGAATGCAACTTAACACAATACTAAGAAGTGGCTGAGACTTAAGTGTTAGCTAAACATATGTATATTTTAGGGTCAAGGAAACTCTTAGGTTGGGGTAGCATAGACTATCTGCAGCAAGTACTCATGTTTGTAATGCTGCTAATGAGACAGTAGCAGTTATTCTGAAAATGACCCAAACTTTATGAAAATTTCTCGGTAACAAGTTTCTCATGTTGTTTGTCTAATTACTTTATGTGTTACATTGCACCTTTGAAAAGTGAACATTGTATTCAAGGTTCACGTAATAATGTACAGTGAATATACCGAATGATCCTTAACTAACTGCGTTCTCCAGCGAAATCAACCGTTAACCCTTACGCTACCTAATCTTTATTTTGCCGAGATCAAAAAAACTCAGCGGGTTATTATGAATTATCCATCAATACTCCTTCTTAATTGCTGAAAATTATTTTATAATTACACTGAAATCACTATTCAACTCGTTGCGTGCAATTGCATTTGTTTCTTGTGAATTTCATCCACCCACTGGGAAATTGTATTGACTGAAAAAAACAAGGTTGCAGTGCAAATGGAAGTGTAGGTTATGGCTGTCCAGGGAGCATTTTCTCAAATGTGAATATAGGTTTGTGCTGGTGAAAGCATTAGTATTTTGGTGGCGTTGTATAAAAATCCCACCAAGGCTGATGCAGGGACAGAACAGTTGCAAGGCTGTGTTAACTGTGGCTTTACTAAAGTACCACATAGAGGGCATCATTGCAGATATCACAACAGCAAGCATGTTGAGGTCGTGAGAAGTCACCCAATCCAAAGGTTGCCTGGCAACTAGAAACATAGTACAAATAGCACTGGGCACAAACTGCAGAAAACTGGTATAAAACATTTTTTTCTTGATTTATAAGTAGAACACTTTTCTCATGATTGTCTATCGCAATATGATAGATCATGCATTATTATTTATAAACTGATACGTTTAAAGTGCAGCAAGTCAGGGCATAAGATGTCAAAAAAGCATCCATCCCCCCCACACACTTTTCCCTCCAACACACACTGTTCAGGATGATCCTTAGTTAAAACGAAGAGGTCGGGGGTGAAACCAGAATAGATATAAGTGAAAACAATTGTCAAAGGTGTTATATCAAGACTTTGATCTCATTGTCAGAGGTCCTGTCTGCGTAAGACATTAAATCGAGGTCCTGTCTGACAGATCAAATGCTAAAGATCCCATAGAAGAATTCAAAAAAGAAATGAGTTTCTCTTGGTGTCCTGGCCTACAGTCCTACAGATAAAATTGATCATTCAGTTCATGGATGATTGAGGGGTATTGCTGTGTGCAAATTGGCTGACGTGTTTGCCTACAAGTATACAGCCAAATTTAGACCACATGTTAGATACCATTACCAACTGCACGTGTGCAAGTTTCTGCTTTTAACAGTATTTGATATAAATACAGCATGTACGTCACCTGCCCTGCAGTGCTATGTAATAGCTATTTGCAGTGATGGTCCTTTAGATCTATAAACAATGGCATATGGTCAGGGTTAGAGCACACGCCTCGCAAGCGAGAGACCTGGGTTCGATTCCTGGTCAGGGCGAAATATTGGGCAAGTTTCCTTACTCCACTTGTCCTTGTGGTAAGTAGGAACCCGATTGTTAGTCGATTGGCGGATCGCTTTTCTGGGGGTAATTATTCCTTAAAAAAAATAATAACTTGGTCACTTCAATCCACAACTATTTGTGAGACACTGCTGTGCGCAATTGGCCCACAAACTATACAACAACAACAAAATTACATTTGTATAGCACCTTTCACGTCGGGAGGACGTCCCAAGGTGCTGGACAGAGTACAGCATTTCAGTCCTGAGCTGGGGTCAGGGGAGGGGAAGGGGCGGGGAGGGGAAGGGGGTGTGGCCGATGGCATGGTCGAAGAGGAGGGTCTTGAGGCGGGTCTTGAAGGAGGCTAAGGAGACGGCGAGCTGGAGTGACTGGGGGATGGAATTCCAGAGGGGGGCAGAGTGGCTGAAGGTGGTGGGGCGGGTAGTTTGGGGGACGTGGAGCAGGCCAGAGCGGGCTGAGAGGAGGGAATGGGCGGGTTGGTAGGGGGTTAGGAGGTTGCAGAGGTAGGGTGGGGCGAGGCCATGGAGGGCTTTGTATGTGAGGACCAGGATGTTGAACTGGATCCTCTGAAGGATAGGGAGCCAATGGAGTCGCTCGAGAGTGGGGGATATGGGGTCATGGAGTTTGGTGCGGGAGAGGACACGGGCTGCAGAGTTCTGGATTATCTGCAGCCTGTGGAGGAAGGAGTTGGGAAGGCCGACAAGCAGGACGATGGCACAGTCGAGCTGGGAGATGATGAAGGCATGAACAAAAGTTTCAGTGGCCTGAGGGGTGAGGTAGTGGCGGAGTCGGGCGATGTTACGAGGTGAGGGAAGGCAGAGCGGGTCATGGTTTGAATGTGGGGGAGAAAAGGCAGTTGAGGGTTGAACAAGACACCGAGGTTCCTGACTGGCGGTGAGTTGTAGTGTGCAACCATGGAGGTTGATGTTGCCAGAGCCTGAGGTGCAGAGGTGCTGGCGTGAGCCAATCAGGAGGGCCTCAGTCTTGTTCACATTCAACTGTAGGAAATTTGCCCTCATCCAGTCACTACACTTCGCAGTACATTCTGTGAAGCACTTTGAGACATCTCGAAGACGTGATAAGGCGCTATATCAAACACAAGGATATTTATTATTATCATATACAATCAAAAATATACAGTCAGTTCACTTTTTCTTATACCCCAATTCTCTTTTGAGTTTTACTTTCTAATACAGTTCCATATTCTGAATTAGTAATGTCAGTTTCTTTACTAACAGAATTAAATCAAGGCGCTAGATAATAGAGATCATTATAATCCAGGCTGTTTATATATATCACTAGTTGATATTTT